CGTTGGGGGGTCTTTGGAAGACCCATAGTGAAGCCGAAAACCGGCCATCAAGCAATGGTGAAACACTTTCGCCCACCTTCACTACCGTCACCGGAATCCAACCCCACCACCACCCAAAGAAGCCCACCTTCAAGCGGAGCAAATCCTCGGAGGAGCTCAACCACCGAACAAAAGGAAAGCCTAAAAATGTAGCCCAAAGATTCGTCACCCAACCATTAATCCGAGTCAGATCCGGACAAACAGAACTACCACACCACACACCACTGCCACCAACGCGAAGCCCATGACGACATGAGCCGGAAGATCAAATTTCTAGACCGGGAGCCCGGCAAGATGTCCGGAGGCGGTACCGGAGCTCCGGCCACCTGCTGCTCTCCAAGAAGAAACTCTCTCTCTCTCTCTCTATAACTCTCTCTCGCTCTAAATTGCAAAAACTCGATCACCTCACAAAAAGTTGGAATTTTGATCAATTTGTATTACCAAACTGATATGTGCGAATATGCCTATTTGACTTATAAAATGACCCATTAATGCACCATTTTCACGCCTAATCTAATCTTCTAATTCCATACACTGAATGACACAAGATTTTCGAATGAAATCCATCTACCTTTCTTGAAATAAGGAAGGATAAAATAGTCTGTTCCACAACCAAAACCTTCAAAGATTGCAACATGCTTTAGTTTGATAAATAATCTGCAAGAATGCTTACAAAGTTACAATGCTTAAATCCATAAAATTCGAAATGGTTGTAGATAATTGGCAAAATCAGAAGATAATGTCTGAATCGCAATCAGAGTATTGTGTGAGAACTATATATATAATTTATGCTAGTAAGTGCATGAGTCACCTCAAATAATAAAGTGTAAATAAGAGTGTTGATCCCACGAGTATTGTATTTAATTTTCATTAATTACTGAAATTGATGGACATCAGAAGATAATGTCTGAATCGCAATCAGAGTATTGTGTGAGAACTATAATAATAAAGTGTAAATAAGAGTGTTGATCCCACGAGTATTGTATTTAATTTTCATTAATTACTGAAATTGATGGATTCTAAGATTATTTAATAAACCAAAATAAGTAACGAACAAAAGAAAGTAATAAAAATAATAACTAAAATAAATAAATAAATAATAAAAGTACAATTTGGAGATAAGGATAGAAGGAAACTCTAATGATAATAAACTGTCTTGATGCTTTGATCTCTCTCTACTAAGCTATCTTGATATCCAATTCTTAGGCTCGTCAATTTATTTCACTCTCATTAGTCTAGGTTTTTAAAAATAATTTCACTTTCTCCTGAGTGCCGAGTAAAATAGTATGTAAAACTAATTAAGCAATAACACTATTAGCCTAACCGAATCAAGCATCCATTAAACAAACTTAATCTTGACTATCCGAATTAATTGACCTCCCGAACTCAATTAACTCTTGGTTTCGTTTCCTAAATTCTATCATGTAAAAGTAACTCTCCTGAGCCTAAATCTATACATCTATATCTCTAATTCATGAAAACACAAATTTGAACAATTAACGTAGAGAAACACAAATGAATTAAAGTGAAAATCACATTAATAAGCACTTAGAATATTCAAAGCATAGCAACGTTAAAACTACATTAAGCCCCTAGATCTAAGAGTTTAGCTAGAACAAGATATCAAGAATCCCAAATCAAAACGCATAAACAAACCAAAAATCAAATCCATAATCAATCACAAATATCAAAGAATAACACAAACTCAAAGCTAAAATAGAGGAAGTAATCAATCACAAATATCAAAGAATAACACAAACTCAAAGCTAACATAGAGGAAGAGAGAGAGAAAGAGAGAGAGAGAGAGAAAGAGAGAGAGAGAGAGAGAGAGAGAGAGAATGAAGAACTAGACGCCAATTTAGCTCCAGAATCTTCAATCTTCCTTCGGCTCTTCAAGTAAGTCCTTGAATCCTTGTATTCTCCTCTTTAAGGTTAAGTGTTTTTTGGTCTCCAAAGAACCACTTTGATTCTCAACACATTTTCTATTTATATCTCCTCAAAATCAATACAAAAGAGGCCTTAAAATGACTGCAGTATCGTGGAGGCGCTGCAGCAAATAATTTTTCCGTTGCAGCGCCGCTTAGGATTTCTGAAAAACCCTAGTGGCGCAAGCTCACCCACTGCAGCGGATGAATTTCCCGCTGCAACGGCGGATGAATATCCCATTGCGGCGGGTATGTAGTTTTCCTGCTCTCAGGCAAAAAATCCGCGGTAGTGGATGGATTTCCCGCTGCAGCGGGTGTCTGATTTTGAGGAAGATTTTCTCCTTCTATATGACCGAATTAGCCGTTGGTGTCTGTTCGCGGTAAAAAAAAATATGTACATTGGATGATGAATCACAATTGGGCCTTAAAAAAAATGAATGAGAGGAGAAAATAAAATTTTGTGCTGGCTCAACTTTGCGCTCGTCCAAACAAAATAATAAAAAAAAGAAGGGGGATTTTTTAAAAAAAATGCACGTTATAAAACGTGGAGTAGTGGTAAAAAAACGTGGTGCAAAACGTGATGCAGAACGTGGTGCAGAACGTGCAGAATGTGAAATTCTCTTATATAAAGGAAGCGAGTGCAGAAGAAAAAAAAAAGACTGGAGGGAAAGCTTTTCTGAAGACTTGTGTGCGTGTGTGCAGAAGAGACATGAGAAAAAAAAACAAACAAAAAAGGTGTGCAAGTGTGTGGGGAAACGTGAGAAGTGAAAGAAAAAAAAGGGTGCAGGTGTGTGTGTGTGAAAATGTGAGAAGTGAAAGAAAAAAAGGGTGCAGGTGTGTGTGTGGAAACGTGAGAAGAAAGAAAAAAAATGTGCGGTGCAGGTGACAGAGACGTGAGGAAAAAATATACATCTTCAGAAGTGTATTGTGATATTTCAAAACAAGAAGGTAAATACATATTTTGGTCTTCTTCTACACTGACAGTTTCAATTTTCTGTGTTATTAAACAGATACAGTGCATTTAAATCAAGTCCTATATACACTTTTAAGTGTGGGATTGTGATTTATTCCTTAAAGATTTCTTATTTGTAATACTCTTAATAAATTCCTAATGCACTCATGGTGTGTGGTTTCTCATTCTTATCACAATCCTATGATTATCACTAAGACTTGAATTTCTTTTTAGAGATCTATATAAGTTAAATGTGATTTCAAAAAAATCAAGGATTAAAAGTTTCCCAAATTATTGGGTACGATTGTTTTGAGTGCAATTCGAGTGGAAAACTCATATGAATTACACTTTAAGGATCGACATATGAGAAATTATGTGCATATGATCTATATGAAAATATTCATATGAATCGCACTATACCCGTCAAGAAGCAATCAAATAAGGAAGAGTAAAAAAAAAAAGCAAGTAAACCCACACCTTAGTCTTTCTCAATATCTTCACAAAGCGCATATATATATATATATATATAAACCAAAAATTCACGGATGTTTGTAGTTGCTGTGATGTGACATTTACAATGCAATGGCTCATTTATATATATATATATATATATAGGGAAACGTGTAGAACGGATGAGGATGGGGAAATTCAAATTTCTTTTGAAACTAAACTGAGCGCGAAAAAAAGGGATATATATCAATCAGTTTAGATGTGAAATTTAAAATTTTAAAAAAAAGATAAGGGATAAAAGATTAATCTCAAAGAAATTCGGAATATTAAATACCAAAAAATTCAAAGTGCACAAATTGAGCCCCTTTATTGCCCCTTAGTTCAAAAAGATGAGCTCATTGTCTCATAAAACCATATGGTGATTAAATATAATTTTCAAATCTCAAATTAAAAAAAAAAATCTCTCAACGCCAAATTCAAAAAGGATCCTTTTAATTCCCCATAAGTTCATATATCGGGGAATTAATATTAAATACCAAAAAATTCAAAGTGCACAAATTGAGCCCCTTTATTGCCCCTTAGTTCAAAAAGATGAGCTCATTGTCTCATAAAACCATATGGTGATTAAATACAATTTTCAAATCTCAAATTAAAAAAAAAATCTCTCAACGCCAAATTCAAAAAGGATCCTTTTAATTCCCCATAAGTTCATATACCGGGGAATTACCCAAATATAACTTTCAAATCGAAATTCTAAAGTAAAATTCCAAATTGAATTTTAAAATATCTTTGAATTCTTCCTATGGTCATATATCGGGAAATTCTCTAAAATCCAAATTCAAATTTAAGAACTACGATTGACTTGATTTCCTATTGGATACGTAGGCAACCTAAAATTTAGGTGCAGTTTCAAGACCAAATTCAAGCCTAAAAATCCTCATAAATGACAAAGTCAAAACAAAACTAAATCAAACTTCAAAGTGCATAAATTCCTCATAAGGTCATGCACCGAGGAATTATCCAAAATTTTCAAACACAAAATTCGAACTAGAAGTGGCTGGATCCCCTAATGGGGTATGTAGGCAACTCGGCTAAATTCATCGAGTTCAGCCGTAATTTTAAATCAACCTGAATTTCCCAAATTCACAGAAAATAGAATTTACTATTTTAATTGGAATCAAAATGTCTTCCCTATCAAGGGATTGTAATTAAGAGGTTGTTCTTATAATTTTGAATGGGTCGAACTAAAAATAATAAACTCCTATATTAATTAAATCTTAATATAGGTGAAATTATATTGTGTGTGAAATACTATTTTAACATTAATAAATATTTTTACTCAACAATGTTTTCATAAAAGTTATTGTTCCATCTCTTATCTTTTTAACGCCACCAAGATCACATCATTTAGAATTCGAATGAGAGAGTTATGCTTTAAATACTAAAATATATTTCAAAGTTAAATTTTCACTCTTTTTATTCCATTTTAATTTTAACCTACAAAAACAAAATAAAAATAAAAAATATTAAACTAATAAAAATACTTGAAAATTTACGAATACTCAAGCTCAAAAGTACTTGATTTTTGAGTAAAATACTCTCATCAACAATGTTTCAGTAGATTGTTAGCCTTGGGATAAAGCACCAGTATTCTTGTCACCAAACAAAACATCGCAATTTTGTGGCTCAACAAAAGAAAATAAACAAACAAACAAGAGAAGTTATAATAGAGTTTCAACCAACTAATGAGGTTTTCCTGAGTTTCTCAATCCTCTCATACAAAGTTTGTACCATATCCTCTCTTCCTTCATCAAGAAGAGCTTGTTTCAGATTGCTATACAACTGCGCCGGCGGCCGAATCCCCATATCCATCATCTCTTGAAAGTACTTGCAAGCGTCGTCCAACTTATCCTCCATACATAAACTGTTGATCAAAGTGGAGAACATGTGCATCCCTGGAAGCACTCCTTTGGCCTTCATCTGATCCCAAATCTGAATCGCCATATCCAATCGCTCCACATTACAGAACATCCTCACCATTATCTCGTACGTGCTCACTGTTGGCTCACACCCGGGTTCCCGACTCATTCTCTGGAAAACCGAGAAAGCTTCTTCTGTTCTTTTATCTTTTATCAAGTGGTGTAAGATTATGTCATAAGTTCGAGAATTCGGACCAACCCCACATTCTCTCATCTCATCAACAACCTTGTATGCATTATCCAACTGCATTGACCAGCAGTAAGCTCCCACCAAGGCATTGTAAGTAGGTACCTCAGGCTCGAAACCACACGCTTTTGATCGTCTAAAGACTTCGAGAGCTTCATTCAACCTCTTCGCGGAACCCAACCCAATAATCAAAGTACAGAAGATATGAGGGCTAGGCTTGCAATTATTCGCTTCCATTTCGTCAAACAACGCAAAAGCTTCATCATACTTCCTAGCCTTACAATGTGCATTGATCATAATGCCATAAGTCACAACATCAGGCTCAATCCCCTCGTCCTTCATCTCCCTATAAACCTCCTTAAGCTTCAACAAATTCTTCTCCTGACCCCACCCCTCCAACAAAATCGTATACGACTTGATATCGGGTTTGAACCTTTTCTCACTCATTTCGTCGAACACCTGCTGTGCTATCGTCGCAAACTTTGATTTGCAAAGAGTGTCAAGGAGTCTATTGAAATCCGAAACTTCTGCCTTCAATCCAAACTTGCGCATCTTCCGGAACGTCTCTATCGCTTCTTTAGCCTTCTTGGCTCTCGCATATCTCCGCGAAATCAACGCAAAAGTGTTCTTAGTCAACAAACGTTTGAGTTTCATTTCGTCCACCAAATTCCATATCTTCTTGAACTGCTTGATCTTTCCCAGAGCTTCGATCAAAGCGTCGTAACTCTCAGTTGTATGTTTGAACCCTTTTTGCTTCTCAGCCCATCTGAAGAACGAAAGCGCAAGAACACCCGAATTGCTGAGCTTCTTCAAAACCTCAACGACAAGAGTCGCCGACATCTCAACGTGAATATTATCGAGAAAGCTCTCGACGCTGTCGTTTGAAGAGTTAATGTACAATGTTTTGCAGATGTTTTCGGCGTCTTGGGCTGTCCTGTCGGTTTTGGCATCTGGGTTGTTGGAGATGTTTTGATTCTGAACGGAAGCCTGGGTTTGTTCTGCATTGTCATGGGTTGGTTTGGAAGAAACAGTGCGGCTGAATAAGAGCTCAAAAAATGGATATCCCCTGAATGGTTTTTGATTTCTGGTGAGGTCTTCTGTGATGGTTTGTGATAGAGTAGTGAGTGAATGGAGACAAGTGGTTCGAAAGTGTTGGAATGAGTTGATGACAGGTTTTCTGGGTGTTTTTTGTAGGAGACGACAGGCAAATTGAGAGATGCCCATTTGAACTTCCAAAGACCAAGGAACATCAGTTGCACTTGGCACAAACACATATATATACACCCCTTTCAGTAGCTAATTATAGACGTGTGTGTGTGTATCCTTCGGCAAGCTCTCCTATTTCTGCGTTTTAAAAACTGTTCGTTTTGTGGGTTCATTCTTTATTACCTCACAATTCTCAAACTATCCAAACAGTAAAGTTTTCATTCACTGATCGAACTTTAAACTTCCAAACGTTAGTTTAAGCCAAAGTTTAGACCACGTAGGTTCAGAATTTTCAGTTAAAAAAGATCTACAAACGCATAATTTTCTTTCATGGATTGCTATGGATAGGACAACAGAGATGACCAAGTAGTTTTTCTCTTTGGTTTTCTAAAAGGGTAAGGGGACCAAGAAAACTGCACTAAACTTCCATAGCGGTGGCAGAATGAATACATCTGTTACCAAGTCAATACGCATTCGATTGAGGAGAAAAAAACAAAAAAACGATGAGCCAGTTTTGAAAATCCTAGATTAACAATGTGTATATTGGGAACAAGGCATTAACATTTGTGAAAATGGAATTAGACTGCAATGACTGCCGTGGAAAATTGAAAGAGAGAATCTAGTTAATTTCACAACTAATAATTCAAAGAATGAACTTTCTGATAATCAAGTATTCAACAACAGCTGAACAATATAGTCCGATGACAGGGAGAACATACAACCGCATGCAAATGGAAACACAGAGGGAGACCCCTTATTGATTGAGAGGCTGTAGGATGGCTCACGGCTCCAAATAAATGCATGCCTCCATGCTACACACAGCCCAAAATCCCAAGAGTGAATGTTACTTTGTTTCCGGTCGGCTCTGCCGGCGTTATACACATTCGTGAAGCCTGCGGCAAGAGGAGCTCCCAAAAAAATTGCACTTAAGAGGCCAAAGAATGTATCTGAACGAACCGCAGTTTTCAAAACCAAGAAATGCGTTCAGATGGACTGCACCTAATCTTAGAAGGTCTTGCATGAATACAAGGATCTTCATTTGCACTGATTTGACTGTGAATTCCAGTCATCGAGGAGGTTAGTAATAGACTCTTCAAACTTTTTTGCTTGAGGCCCAGGCTTCAAGATATTGACATCACCCCATTGGGAGCATGGATCCATCCACCAGCTTCTCCGGCCAGAGCACCACGCACCTGGGACGAGTCGCTTTTGTCCGCGCTTTAGGACCTTTTCATCAATCAAGTTCAGCACAGGATCATCTTTCTTGAATTGTCTAGCAAAAGCAGCACCGCTTTGAACCATTTGACCAAAATCAGAAATGTTGAGGAAGTGAGGTTCCATCCCTGGGGGACTGTCCCAGATCACATATCTCAAATCACTGTTCACTGTTGTGTTCTTGAACTCTGGTGCGTTGCATATAACGGAATGAAAATAGCCTTCTTCCGACAAAATTACATTGGTAAAGTACATAAGCAGGGTCCGCGGCAGGTTATCCCAACCAAGTATACAAAATTCCAAAAATGATCGACTCAGGGTGACCCATGGTGAACCTGCAGACCAAGAAAGTCACTAATATTCAAGTCCAAATTAATTGAAAAACAAAATTTTGGGTTGAATAAAAGAATGAGATACACACACACACACATATATATATATATATATATAGAGAGAGAGAGAGAGCATATCATAGAGACTTTGCCTGTGAATACTTTAAACGCATCGGGTGTTTTTCGTTTCTGTGTAGCATGAAAAATTTGGCTCCTCCTGGCTAGGTATATCCCCGGATCAACAACAATAGGTTGAAACCTCTGAGATCTGAATAAAGAGAAAAATTGAAACTTAATGATTTTGATTCTTGTATGCCACAAACCTATTTAGCTAAAAGTTAGAGAGGATTTGCATACTCTTTCCATCCAAGGTCACTGGTGTGATCAATGAAATTTAGATCCCTCCTAACAGAGGAGAACACATGAGAAAGATCTGGGGAAAGGGGTGAAAAAACATTAGTAACTCAGCATAATGTACAAGGAAATACCCTCCTAAGTGGACTAATGAGGATTCAAATAGATAATCAACAAAATCAGTATAAAGACCCTCCTAAGTCGGCATAGTTAAGGTGGAATTTAGAAATTCCCAACATAAAACTCAAGTTAATACCAAGTGCTTGTTGCTTGTAAATGTGATATGCAAAAGTTCAACTGGTGGAAAAAAATGAATAGGAACAACAAACATTCTATAAATTAACAGCACAGCACAATAACAAAGAAAGTGATGTTAAATGCCAGTAGATCCGCTCATGGAGTAAATTGAAGTAAATAAATCCTAAGCATAGAAAAACAATGTTATCACTGCCATAACCCCCAATCCAGTTTTTGATCCATGCACTTCAAGAATGGTGCTTATGTAATCACCACTTCCAGCAATGAGTTTACAATCACTCTAAACCAGCTTTTCATTCACGCTTTTCTGGGAGGATCTTGATGAAACTAAAACAACTAATGTTGAGTTTACAATTACATTAAAAGTTTTCAGGAAGATTGGTTTTCACGGTCATATCACAATCAATATGTTGGAAAAGAAGTAATCAAGCCAGACTCATCTTTGCTATTCAAGATTCAGTCTATGTTAACTTGCTGTCATATCATCATACGGATAATGACTATCCAACAATTTTAAGGACATCAAAGGTATTTTCAATCAATTACGCTAAATACACGAATCAATCTGCCGAACATCATACAAATGAAGCCCAAAAGTCAACTTGAAACTTTCAGGATCACAATAAAAATGGGGACTAAGAAAAGTCAACGACATTCTCACCAATCTAATTGATCATAAAGGTGAAAAATTCAATTTAATTTCCCACATCTGTTCTTCTAATGACTCTAGATTCCTCTCCATATTAACATCCCAAGCATCAAAGCAAACTTCATCCAAGATAACAAAAAAAAATTAAAAAAAAAATCTAGTCAATCAAAAGGTAACCTCTTCAAGTAAATTTCAGAAACAATTTACCATCCATTCCCAGCTACAAAATTCAAATTTTCCCGCTAACAAAATATCCAAAAAAAAGAAAAAGACCGAAGAGGCATACCGTCCTGAGTGAGAAGCGGGTAATCCATGGCACTCAAAGGAATAAACCAGTCCCAGCCACTATCAACCTTCAACAAAATAGCCGCGGCGCGGAGAACCGTGGCGATATTGGAAGCCCCCATGTGGGTAAGTCGATCGGGCTTCCCGACCACATCGACGTTCCCGAAAGCCCTAACCGCCGTCACCGACTTCACCAACGCCGACAGCTGATGCCTCTCATCGTCAGACGCATCCACCGAAAGATGCAGAAGGTACCGATTCCTGGGATGGTAAACCGCCAGCAGAAGCCTGAAGATCCGGTCGCAATCACCTTTCCCTCCCCACAAGTAGTAGGCGAAAGCCGGCGGGTAATGCGACCCTTGCTGGACGATCGACGGGAACGGCTTCGGAGAACCAAAAGCGGAGATTGAAGAGAAGAGGAGAAGAATCAGAGACAGAAATGACGCCGAGAAGAGAGTCAAGAGCCATTTCTTCCTCTCAGCTCCCATAATGCTGGTACTACTGTTGGGGCATATGGCTATGGAGGAATTTGTGCTCGGTTTCTCAAGATCGATCTTGCTTTCCGTGGGATTTGGTTTCTTTGGCGATAATGGCGAAGAACAATGAGATTTTCTTGGGCGTCTCGAAGATTGGGCTTTGCTTCCACTGATGAAAAACCGGTTTTCGAAACCGGATCAGATTCAGAAACTGTGAAATTCTCTTTCTTCCTCTCTCTTTCTCTCTCTAAGTTCTGTAATTCTAGGGTTAGGGTTTTCAACTCAGATTTGCTGTTGAAGAAGAAAACAGAGTTCACGAATTCTTTCTTTCTTTCTTTCAAAATTTTCTTTTCTTCGATTTTGAATATTTTGATCTCTGAATTTTCAAGAGCTTTTTGAGTATATTACACATCTTTACGTATCAGTTTTCATGTTAAACAAGCTCAATCCCCACGCGCACTGGTCACGCGTGAATGCACGCTAAAATATTAGAGATGAATGTTTGCCATCTGACGATTGGGATGGTGGCGTGGCGTCACGTATTTACTGACAAAAGTGGGAGATAACGATATGATGTTTACTCAGTGTTTTTCTTGTTTATTATTAATTATTTTCCTCCTGAGAATTGAAATGCTGTCGTTTTTCACCGACGGCAGTTTTGGCATTAACAGCCAAAAGAAGGCGACATGGAATTAGCAAAACGCGGTAGGTGGAAATAGTGGATTTTTTTTTTTTTTTTGTGTGTGGCAAAATTAGTATTGGGATTATTATAATAAGGCACAAGCCTTGGGTCGTGCATAGGTGAGAGTTAGGTTTACGATGACCAAAAGGATTTTTGTCTTTTTTTGTTTTGAAACAGGATTTTTGTCTTATTTCAATTTCAACGGTGAGTACTTTCCTTTTTCTTTTTAACTATATTAAATTTGAGACAATAAGGGGAAAAAAATTTATAAGAGCCTGTTTAGTTCATAAATTAAAATTATGAGATTAGAATTATTTTTTATTTACGTGTATTTTTTATGAGAAAAAATACTATAGTGAACCATGAACCATAATTCGAATCAAAGAATAAATCATCCAACCAAACTGGCTTTAAATTCAATGTTAGAACTTTTGTACAACCATTTTTTTGCTGCAGTTTAAATTTATCAAGAATTAAATGATAAAAAATTAATTCAAACAGTTAAAATTTGAATTGCGTGCTCTCATTCGTTAATTGAGACCCATATGTTTTAGTTAAAAATAAATAAATTCTTTGTTTTAATTTTATAACTGCTTTTGATAAATATGTACTTACTAATTATAAAAATAATTATATGGTGTTAAATCCGGTGGTTGTACAGTATGACAGATGTAGTATTTTTTTATATATGAATTTGAAACTTTTTAAGGTAAAATAGAAACAAGTTATGACCATGTTCATTTCATCAATTCAAGTTTAGAATTTGAATTTTGCTACAGTAAAAAGCTCTCAGAAACAGTCAAATTTAATTTTTTTATTACAATAAAAAGCTCTCACATAAAGTCACATGTCAACTCAAATCAGAGAACTAAATGGACCCTACATGTAAGATAAGAGTATATCATATTTTATTTTGATAAAATAAGTATTACACGAACGTACAAAGCTATTACACAAATGAATAAAAAGTTTTACATTTATCAGACTAGAGCAACCGTTAGACCGAGAACATTTTTTTAGGAATATTATAGCATAGTTCTTTGTTTTTTTTAGTATCATTCAATACTTTTAAAAATTACAGAGGTCATGTTTGATTCTTATATTTAAATTTATAATTTTAATTGTGTTATCATATTTTTTATCTTATAAAAAATTTAAATTTTAAAATTTTAAAATTCTAATTAATAAATTAAAATTAATAATTTAAACTCGTAAATTCAACGAACTTAAAAAATTAAAGAAATTGCATTTTCAACACATTTGTTTATTTGTTTATTTTTGACATTTCTCAACACTAGTTATTAAACTTGTACGTGACGAAATACTTTACGTAATTCACACTTTCTAGAATGTAACTTTTGTTCCAACGTTGCGTCCTTTGGAAAACAAATGTACGTCAGTCGTCCTTGCTTTTCTCTTTAGCCGGGTGATGTCACACTTGTACACGTGTTTTCTTCTTCTTCTTCATTTAACTTTCATTTTCGGATTTCTCGTAGAAACATATTATGATGATGCGGACCTGCGGTAATGCAAATTCAACTCCTACCATATTATCATCATCATTATTCATTATGTTGTATGATGCCATAATGGGACTTTTGTAGTTTCATAAGAGAATACAAAGAAGGAGTTGGGACTTTTATATTAATGGTATTTAATATTCGAGTTGAAAAAGTTAATTAGCGAGGAAATAAATGCCACAAAGAATCATGGCTCCTAAACCATATGTCTGAAAATTGATCGACTTAATGATGTCAAATTGAGGGTACTTTTATAGCCTTTACAAATAAACTTAGGCCCCGTTCATTTTGTTGATTCTAGTTTAAAATTTGAGTTGAGATGTGACTTTATATGGGAGCTTTTTACTGTAGTAAAAAAGTTAAATGTGATTGTTTGTGAGAGCTTCTTACTGTAGAAAAACTCAAATTCTAAACTCGAATTAACGAAATGAACGGGGCCTCAATCTTGTTGGTAACGCGCTTATGTAATGTAGCTCTTTTTTTTTTTCTAAAATAATTATTATAATAGTATTTCTACATTATTCATGACGTCGAGATTTTAAATTTAAATTGTTACCATAAAGATGATAATTAAGCACTCGTCTTATATGCACTTTGATCTAGCACAAAGATAGAGAATGTGTTTTTCCTTGTTAACTAAAAATAAAAAATTTAAGACCCTATTTATTTTGCCGATTCGAGTTTAAAATTTGAGTTTTGCTATAGTAAAAAAGTCTCAGAAACAGTCATATCTAACTTTTTTTATTACAGTAAAAAACTCTCATATAAAGTCACATCTCAACTCGAATTAAAAACTCAAATCAGCGAACTAAACGGGCCTTAAGTTTAGTCTCCTGCAATGCCAATGCTACTATCATTTTGAAATAAGAGTTGTTGAGTATTACTCGTATTTAACACCACAATCACATGAAATTCACACAATTCACATGGAATGAGTTCCACATACATATGAGCGCCATCTGAGATCCACTTTGATAGTTTTTGAAACACTTGTGACTTGATGGTCATGTCATTGATATGAGTTTCATCCAAGGCACATTCAATATGAATTGGAATATTGGACATAAGTGATCTTTTATTATTGGTTAATCATATTTCTGCCATGAACTTTAAGATCATTGTTTGTTTGTCACCAAAACTTTTGAAACTCCTATTTTACTTAATAAATTTTGAATTAGTCTCACTTAATCCATTTTATAAGAGTTTTTGTTCAAAACAAACCGAAAAATAGGAAAAAAATGGATTAAGTGTGGTTATATGTTTTTTTTTTAAAGTTTATTTTAAGTTTGTTTTTAATATAAAAACTATGTGACCGCGATACTTTTTTTTTATGCTATTAACAAAAATTTTAATTTTTACCAAAATTTTTTTTAATAGAGTAGGCTAAATAGAATTTATTTAAAATTTGAGAGAAAAAGTGAAAACTTTTAAAATTAAAGTTCAATAGACCTCAACGATCAATGACATGAATGAGAATAATCCTTTATAATTTTTGCTTCATAAAACTATTCGAAGGGCTTATTAAACTGGTCCCTTGGATGGTCATGCTGCTCATCTATTAATGAGCAGCATAATTCAATGTCACTGGATTTCAGATGGACTCCATCTTACATGCATATTACATATTAAGAAACGAAACGTGTTCAGTACTCGTGAAACCAAACATATTCAGCAGTGGTACTCGTGAAACCAAACATATTCACATTAATTAGTGCCTTTTCTTTTTTTCACCATTGGTGGTGTGAAATCCAAAATCTATCATCGCATAGCAGTATCCTACATGATAAAGTGCTGAGGATTAACAGTTAAGAAACATATTCACATTAATTAGTGCCTTTTCTTTTTTTCACCATTGGTGGTATGAAATCCAAAATCTATCATCGCATAGCAGTATCCTACATGATAAAGTGCTAAGCATTAACAGTTAATACTTGATTGGACTAAAAAGTGGAGAAGACAATTAGGAGTAAGTATAAAAATTACAATATTTTCCCTTAAATCATTTTCGTGGCTGTGTCAAAATCAGTTCAGTTTAGACCACTTCGAATGATATATATATATATATATATATATATATATATGCTTGTATATCAGGATATAGGAAGTAGGAGCGTGCTTTGGAATGTTAAACTGTCACGAGCAGTTGATAATATGCATAAAAAACGAACAATCATTTCTCTATTGTTGCGCTTAGCTCAACTGTGTTAAAACATACAGGTTAGCTTAAATAACTTCATGCCACGAATATTTATTGTCGCCTTCTCTTTTTCAACCCCTATAACCATAATTATCTGGTCAACTCAATAACAACAGTCCAGAGGATCTTATGCTACTTCAGAGTAGCCTAATCACTCGGATTGAATTTTCCGAATCTTCATCACTGCCTCAATCACTCAGATTGAATTTACAGAATCTTCATCACTGCCTTCGCTGTCACTGCTGCTACCGCTACCGCTTCCGCTTCCGCTGCCGCTACTTCCACTTCCACTGCTGCTACTTGAAGTGGAAGTCTGCTCATCCCTCTCCTCCGCATTCACTTGCGCTCGAAGCGCTTCTGCAGCATTTGGCCCCTTGTCAACTTCATCACCACTATCATCAACATCAGCAATCTCATCATCAGTGTCATTTTGATGTGGAACGTTGATATCAAATCCAACGTTAGCTTTATCTTCTGCAGCATTCACATCTTCAGGTAATTCAGCCCCAAAAATGTCCTCGATATCTATATCTTGATGTTCATCGACTTCTTCATTCTCATTCTTAGGATCAGGCGCGACAGAAGAGGTGTTTGGTGGATCAGATGAATAATCTGCAACCCCCTTACTGGCAGATTTTGCACCTGCTGCATTATGTATTAGCATTATCATTCAAAAACACGCCTTGCAAAAAGAACACGTTACGGAAAACTACATTATTAATCCAAAACATCGTACACAAAAATCAAATTCAACTTTGAAATTCTAAGACAGATTTGAAGTGTAATCTCCATTTGTTTGGTCAATCTACTTCACAATACTAATTGGACAAGACTGTAAATTAAGCTTGAAACTCAAATTTTAGAGACAAATGTAATTTTGCAAAGCGTATCTTGCTCTGCCTCCAATAGCATCTGGTTAATGCAAGTGAAGAACAAGGAACCACCTTTCACAAAATTAGTTTTAACTTGAAGCAACTGGTTTGTGGAAGTAAACAACGGATTTCATAACTAAGAAAAACGGAGTAGCAATGGCGACTGCAAGGAGATCATGGCATCTTAACATATAATTCCCAGGACTTTTGCGAAAATTGGTCTCATTATAGATGCGAATAACCAATAGAAACAAACAGTGTTGGTTAAACTCAGAGCCTCATGTGAAAGGCAGAGAAATGCAAGACATTGTATGCATATGGTATACAGGTACAATAACTATAAAGACGAAAAGCGCGGCATTGGCAAAATGGCAACAAGAGAAAACCAACAAGCCCTAAGATTTTACAGAACTGGTTACATCATCAAATGGAGAAAAATGACTTCCATACAAACCAAATAAGAAAATCACACAAACCTGGATTCTCAGACACGCCAATATCAATTCTTTCCACCTCAACCTGCACAAATTTATGGCAAAGGAAGGCTTAAAATATATGGAAAGATAAGAAATTGAAAGAGATATACAATAAAAACAATAAAGATGACACTTGACTAGATCATCTAATCAACACTTCCAAAAGAAATTAGAGTTTTAACAGGAAAAAAGAATGTCAATTCATGAAACTAATCATAACTTTTGGAGCATTACATTGGCAAAATTGTAATCAAAACTCAAAGTTCTTGAGAAGTTAACTAAGTGAAATCAAGCGGCATTTCAACGAAACTCATGTCAAATGCTAAACTTGCAACAGTAAAACATAATGCCAAACAGGAATTACCGGCACGGCGGGGAATGCGCTTCTGCCGACATGAATCGTCTTTGGAGCCTTCGCGACGGGAGAAAGCCGAGGCTCTATCGCCGGTCCGGAAAGAGCCGCCACCGAGGAGGAAGAGGCGGCGGCAGCGGACTCGCCGGGCTGACGGCGATGCCGGAGATGATTCACTGACCGGTGAAGCCGCTCCATTCGGAAAGTCTCGCCATCGAACAACAAAACGGCGTCGTTCTTGTAGTCCTCGCTGCTCCCGTCGAACGTCACCTTCGGTTTCCCTAATTGATTGTTGTGAAACTCCACAGTAACCCTATTTTCCTTCGTCTTGCGCAGCGATCCAGGCTTCGTCTTGTCGATCGAAGCCGGTTTGAATTCATCTGCACCGAAATCAAAATCGAAACCATTAGCAATCAATCATACATTCGCGATTTTGAAGCTTTTCTTTTTCCCGCATTTTCTCGGGAACCAAACAGTGACTTACATCGCAAAGTGCAGTACTTGTTGGAAGCTTCATCCTTGAATGAAGGTCCTAAAGTCAGATTATACCATCGATCGGACTGCGGAGCGGTTTTCGGCTCTTCCTTGGCGTTGTTCACCATATTTCTGTTCAGAGAGAGAAAGAGAGAGAGAGAGAGAGAGTTTCAGGAGCCTGGAACAAAGCTACGGTGACAGGGACGGGACCCGACCGGTGACATGGCACGATCCAATTGGTGGGTGACGGTTGTACCGCAGAGGATCTAGCCGAGTTCCGTACGATATATAAATAGGGTTTTTCTTTTGCTTTCGACGGCGAAGGACTGAATGGAAGAGTTTGCCCCAGGGACAGGGACGATGGCGAGTCGGACATTGAACAATGATTACCTGTCACAAGGATCACATTGAATCGTAGTATCCGCCAATACGGATTTGCCACGTCATAATGTGCTGCAAAATATCTACGTAAATCACTACGATTGGTCTACATGAAGATGATCTTCTGGAGCCGTGATACCTGATAGGGGCTTTTTTCTTCGCAAGTCGTGCTAAAGTTTTTCCCAGCCCTTCACACGTGGGCGGCTCTACCTTTGTATGTTACACACGCACGCATGACATATGTAGTGCCAAGTTTGTACAAAAATCCTTTTATTGTTTTTCATGTAACTGTCGTTTCTTCTTTTATTGCTGTTTTTTCCCCTAAATTTTCTCGTCGTTTTACATGACGCCGTCGTTTCTGGGCTATTGTCGGTTACTTTTCTCGTCGTCGTTTTTCGTGGATATTGTGGCCGTTGCATTCTTCAAGGTAGTTTTCGCTGCTTTGCCGATCAGTTCCTTTTGTCGTTTTTCACTTCATTGTCGTTTATATTTTTTTGTCTCTGTGTTCACATTATTGTTGTGTTTAGCTCCCTTTCTATTGGATAACAACATTCAAAATTTTTATCACACATTTAGCACAACTGCTATATTTATTTTCTCATAATCTCATTAGACTATCAACAAATGCAATTACTTGAGTAATGTTGCAGTTAGGATTAAAAGATCAGAATTAAAATTTAGATCGCTATTATTATTCATTTTACTCTTTTTTGGTTTTTCCCCTCTAATCAATTGGTGGTTGAAAAAAAAAATCCTAAAAATCGAAACTTTAGCCAGTAAAGTAAAATGTAGATTATTCCACCATATCTTATCCTCAAGCAGCCACGCGTCGCTCAGATGAACAATATATTACCGTTTGAGAAAACGATTTCGCATCCAAAACGACACCGTTTGAAACCTTAATTGCCCCGCTTTAAGAAAAATTAGCCGAGAGCCTGAGACGTACACTAATAGAGCTTTTCTTCAGCTGCAGCAGAGGAAGACGAAAACAATGGAAGAGACAGAGTGAGAGAGAGTTTGGACATGGCGGGTTTTGGCGGTAACGGAGTGGGCCAGGTGGTAGCGGGCCTCGGCTCGAGCGGTTTGGGCAAGGCCCTGGCCGCCGTCGCTGCGGCCCTTCTTCTCCGCCTCTTCTCCGGCCCAGGCCCAGCGCTTCCGCCGGAGACCGACTACGACGACGAAGCCGAGGACCGAAACGACGCCGTACCGGACGACTCCGGTAAGGTCATTCCGGTCACAATCCGGTGGCGAAACATCACCTGCTCGCTCTCCGACAAACGTTCCAAATCAGTAACTCTCTAATTTCAATTTCTATTTTTCTTTCTGTTTTCCCTCACCTGTTTGGCTGCCTTGAAAAAGAAAATGTAGGGTTTTGGATGCTGATTTTGTGGTGTTTGTTAATCCCGAGGTGCGATTTTTTCTCAAAAACGTGGGAGGAGAGGCGAAGCCGGGGAGACTGCTGGCGATTATGGGGCCGTCGGGGTCGGGGAAGACGACGCTGCTAAACGTACTGGCGGGTCAGCTAACGGCTTCACAGCGATTGCATTTGTCGGGGTTGCTGGAGATCAATGGAAAGCCTAGTTCGAACAAAGCTTATAAGTAAGCTTTGTTTGGAAATTAAATTTCGGTTAAAATTGGGTTTGAGATTTCTGGTTGATGATTTTTGTGTTGTGTAATGACAGGTTTGCATATGTGAGACAAGAAGACCTGTTTTTCTCGCAGCTTACGGTGAGGGAGACGCTCTCTCTCGCCGCCGAGCTGCAGCTTCCGGAGATAAGTTCTGTGGAAGCAAGAGATGAGTACGTGAACAATCTCTTGTTCAAGCTAGGCTTGGTAAGATTGGATTATTTGTTTTTTTTTTTGTACTTTATTCGATAATTACGCGATGAAGATCTTGGAGGAGAGTTTTGATGGTTCTCTACTTAGAGGGCATGTTGAAAGTGAGGGGGAGCGTGTTTCCTTTTACCAACTATTCACTGTTTATTTAGGATATCAGGAATAGTAATTTAGTAGGCTGTAGGCTCAGTCCCTCAGTATTGTTTCTCGGTTGATTAGAAATGCTTTTTTATTTATGCGCAAAGGCATTTTAGTAAATAAAATGACAGATTCCTATTCATAAGTTTAGTAAACACTAAAAAATAATTGAATCGTATACAGTTCCACTCCCCAATAGATAAGTAAAGGCTTAAAATGAATCAGTAATCCTCATTCTTTTACTTTTCTTTTTCAAACCCATTACCTTTCCCATTGCATTCCATTACAGTTTGGTAATCGGGTTTTGAGTATTGGGTTGGAAATGATTGGAAATGAGTGATTTTGTTTTGATTTGGTTTTCCCATTCTTGATTAAGTTTTGTGGTTGAACCTTTTTTTTTTTTCTTTGTTCTTCAAAAGGTCAGTTGTGCGGATACGATTGTTGGTGATGCCAAAGTCCGAGGAATCAGTGGGGGTGAGAAGAAACGATTGTCTCTGGCATGTGAACTGATTGCAAGCCCGTCTGTAATATTTGCTGATGAGCCCACAACCGGTTCGACTACTTTTTGAAACTGCATTCTTTATTTTGTCATACTTACGTTCATAAATCATTGGTTGTTGCTAGGTTGATGTAGCACAATAAAGAAGTGGGCATCATCTTATTCCATAATTTAACATATCAGACATATGTGTTCTTACTGCCAAAGCACGATTGTTTCAATTACATATCCATTGTCCACATAAGCTATTCTTCTTTGTATTTTAACAAAAGAAGTTACTAATGGTGCTTTCAGGACTTGATGCCTTCCAGGCAGAGAAAGTAATGGAAAATCTCCGACAGCTTGCACAGGACGGACATACTGTAATTTGCTCCATTCATCAGCCCAGAAGTTCTGTATATGCTAAATTCGACGATGTTGTCTTGCTAACAGACGGTGCACTTGTTTATGCTGGTCCTGCAAAGGATGAACCACTGGCATACTTCTCTACATTAGGGTTGTCCTCTAAACTTTGTCCATCTTTTTTTTTTTTTAATCTTTTGTGGTCAATGCTTTTTTCCAAATTGTATTGAAGGATTTTTATTGTTATTTTTACGGGATAATGAGAGGTTTTGTCTGCTTCATACGGCCCATTCTCACATTTTTATTTTGAATTGGACCCCTGGATTGACAATGAGCAAATCTATAACTTGAATTACTGCAGAACAATTTTTTCTCTATTCTATTGATTGACTTGGTATAACATGCCATCTTTTTAGCTTCTTGATCAATATTTGTTACTTCTAGTATTCAAATAATTATCAGATTTACTTGCATGCACCAGCATGTACACTTCAATCACTCTCTAAATTTTGTGCCTGCTGTAACATGTCATGACTCCAAATTTTGACTAACGATGGTTGTTTTAACAGATACCAATGCCCAGATCATGTGAATCCTGCTGAATTTCTGGCTGATCTCATATCGATTGACTACAGTTCTTCTGCAAGTGTTTACTCATCTCAGAAAAGAATAGATGGTCTTGTTGAGTCATTTTCACAACAATCTTCAACAGTTCTGTATGCAACCCCAATTGCAATAAGAGAGACCTCCAAGAGTAGTACGAAGTTCAACCAGAAAAGTATAGTTAGAAAGAAGGGAGGTTGGTGGAGGCAATTCTGGTTGCTCCTTAAACGTGCATGGATGCAGGTTATTTATTTCATTCGTTGTTCCATGTTCAATATTTACTCTTGTTAGTATGGCATGGTAGAAATAAGAAATCAGAGTTCTTTATATTAATGAAGAGGTTGAACTGCCGAAGAATATTTGGCATATTTACCTAATTGAGTTCTTAAGTAGCTGAGATTTAGTTATTCTTTTTCAGTCTTCCAACAATATTGCCTACTAATTTTGAAGGTTCATTGAAAAAGAAAAAAGAGAGAGACAAACAAGATGGTTCATTGAAAAAGAAAAAAGAAAGAAAGACAACCTATATGGTTAATCTCTAACAATTTGCAAGACATATGTTGACATTTGTTGATTCCGTTTGGCGTAAAACTTATTCTATTAACTAAATACTTTCGGATAAAAAAAAAACTAAATACTTTTTTTACTACCGAGTCAGAACTTTTCTCTTTTCCACTTTTAGCATTGAACAGTTGGGGAGAGCTACAGCCACGTAAATATAATTGCTTCCCATAACAATTTGAGTTGTTTCAGAATGAAACTCAAAATCCTCATTTGATCTGATTGGCTCGCTAGGCTTCTCGTGATGGGCCAACAAATAAAGTTCGGGCAAGAATGTCGGTTGCATCAGCTATAATATTTGGGTCAGTTTTTTGGAGAATGAGAAGATCTCAGACATCGATTCAAGACAGAATGGGATTGCTTCAGGTGTGAAAGTTCATTGATTCCATTTGAAAGTTAGAAACCCAGTCCCTTCTACTTTCTATGTATTATATATTTACTGCAAGCACACTCTGCATCAGATTAGAGTAAGTTAGTTGGTTTCATGAATACTCTCTTTCAGGTTGCTGTAATAAACACGGCAATGGCAGCTCTAACAAAGACTGTGGGAGTTTTCCCCAAGGAGCGTGCAATAGTTGACAGAGAGCGTGCAAAGGGTTCTTATAAATTGGGACCTTACCTGCTTTCTAAGTTGTTGGCTGAGATTCCAGTTGGAGCTGCGTTTCCATTAATGTTTGGTGCTGTGTTGTACCCAATGGCCCGCCTTCATCCGACTCTGTCTAGGTATACAACTCTTACTCTATGTGCTTTTTGATACCGATCATTTCTTCAGTTTCCTTTATTATTTAATAATAATTGGTGTATGCTTAGATTTGATGAATATATGCTAAACTAGTTGTGGGATGTCCATTTAATAACTGATAGTAGACATGACATTTGAGACACACAAAAACTATCACAGAAGCAAATGATTCCACCAGAACTATACTCGATTAGGTTTTACATTCTTTAAGTAAATGATCTAAACTTCTGGTCATTGCAAGATCAATTAAATCATATATGTGACTGGAATGTTGCTGAAGTTTATAGAAACCTCAACATATCCAAAACATTTGCGTTGCAACAATCATAAACATGTAAGTTTCTACATGGCCTATACGAGAGTTTTCTACAGATTATCTTATAGAGTTTTCTACAGATTATCTTATGGTTGACTAATAGTTTGAGCATTTCAACTCTGTGGAGGATGGATGGTTATGATCTGTAAGTACTATGTACCCACTTCAAAATTCTTCCCCTTATAGGTTTGGAAAGTTCTGTGGCATTGTGACTGTGGAATCCTTTGCTGCGTCAGCTATGGGTCTTACCGTTGGGGCTATGGTTCCATCCACTGAAGCAGCAATGGCAGTGGGACCCTCTCTTATGACGGTTTTCCTTGTCTTTGGAGGCTATTATGTTAATGCAGAGAATACGCCGATCGTCTTTCGATGGATACCTCGTGTTTCTCTTATAAGATGGTAAAATAAGTGATATCCTCCCAATAAAGAAAACAATGCTGAGAAACTGCTTTAATCTCAATGTGATAAAGCTGCTGGTTGTTTTTTCCTATCAAATAACAGCATAGTTCTTTCCAAACTTTCAGGGCCTTTGAAGGACTTTGTGTCAACGAATTTAAAGGTCTTGAGTTTGATCATCAGCATTCCTACGACATTCAAACTGGAGAACAGGTAATGGGTGATACATGGATATTGTATATGTCTCTGTCTATACAACGACATCAGTTTGAGAACTCATGATGGATATAGCTGTTAAGGAAGAACTTTTGTTTCTTTTATTAATCTTGCAGGCACTCGAGCGCCTCTCATTTGGAAACAGTCGGATTAGGGACACAGTGGTAGCTCAAAGTAGAATACTCTTATTCTGGTATTGTACCACATACCGTCTCCTGGAGAGAAACAAGCCCAAATACCAGCAGCTTGAGCCCCCACCACTTGATCAAATCAAACCACAGCTACAACTTGAGCCTATTAACAAAGACCAAGTAGAGCAAAACCCGCCAAAAGAATCTCCACAACCCGATCAAGTTGAGCAAAACCAGCAGCTCGAATCACCTGTGATTGACCAAATCCGACCATTTATCCTGGAAGGTTTGTAATTACTTCGGCGTTAATAGATCTTCTCGTCAGATTTACAGCTATTTATTGATTTGTCTCGTACAGGTGCCTAAGTAAAAGGAGCTAGATGTCTTTCAAAATGATGGAGGCCCCATGTAGAAAACTAATGTTGTCATTTTGTAATGGTTGTACATTCAAAACCAGTTTAGGAGTCTCACCAGGACGATCATGCTTATTGTAACTGATCGAATTCGACCAGGGTGTGTGCTTTTGAGCCCTGAAATGGATGACGGATGACTAATGGTCGTTGTAAACCAAATAGACAGCTTTTCATTTCCAAACTCTCAAGTTCTATTTTAGAACCCACAAAAAAATAAATAAATAATAAAAGAAAAAGGGAGCAGCCTGGACATCATTGGAGGACCATTTTCGTGCCAGTCTAATGGAAGTTAAGAGTCATTTGTTACACTCTATTGGAAATTGACAAGGTAATTATGCAAATAAAATGTGAGAGAGATAAGCTGGTATTAATTAGATGATACATTCATGTTTCATTCAATTTCCGGAATCATTAATCACGATTTGTAATTTGTAAGTTCAATTTCTAAGTTTTGGTACTAAAAGCGTTAAGCGAGTGGAGTACGCAAATCAGAATTCATGATGCATGAATTTTTGATTCATGTATAATCATTGTTTGTTGTTTTGCTTTTTTAATTAAAAAATTTTGATTTTGTTTATGCTGCGGCGGCAAGCTCTGATATTAGTTTGTAAAGATATTTTGATTCTTTTTTTAGTAAAAAATTGAGTCTTAAAATTCAAAACCTACCAATGTCCAAACCCAAAAATTGAGTCTTATAATATATGTGAATAAATCTGAAACATACCTCAGAAAAAAAAATTATAAAAACACGAGGTGTAAATATGTATACAATTCATTAGAAGAAATAAACAATTCTCCTCGATTGTAATAATAGCTTAAAAAAATAAAATATTGTTTATCTAAACTAATGTTGCATCTTATTAATTTGTTTTTCTTTGAAGGAATAGTGTTTACACAATTAAAATTAAGATGGTTCTATTCACACCCTTTAACTTACCCTCCACACCCTTTTCTAAACACACACCTCACATAATTTAAAAAAAAAATTAAATTTACATATTAGACACCTTTATTATTTCAAAATTACCCCTAACTATTTTCAAAAAAATTATAAATTCTTAAACACTTCTTTTGACATCCAACATTTTGTTTTATTTTGTTATTTTGATATTATCATCTCTTTATATTTTTCCTGAAGCTTTGGCCATGGAATCTTTTTTCATATATAAAGAAAATTTACTAGTACATTTTCTTAGAAAAATAAGGAACATAAATACGAGCATAAAGGCAACGTAATTATCATATCAATTGAGGTATTGATAAAAAAGACAAAAGGAAACAAAAAAAATCAAAATCAAAAGAGCATAAGCAAGAAAAAAAAAAAGCATATACAACGTTTTAAAAAAGAAAAAAATCCAAAAGGAAATGTTTAACTTTAAAAAATGATTAGTAAATTTCAAAAAACAATATTAGTAGAAGAAAACATAAAAATTAAACAAGAAAAGATCCTCATACAATAAATAGTCAAGAAAATCTAAAATGCTACTTTTTGGAACCAGAAAAAGAAAAATTAGAATTTTGTTATCGAATTCAAAATAGCAATTATTTATAAATTTAGATATGACATGTGAGGTGTGTTGAAAAAAAAAAATTTATAATACAATTTAATTACGTGATTATGTCTATTATAATTGTTTTTTTAAAGCTCATAATTGTCTTTTTTGTAATTTTATGTGAGAATTTTTTATTATAAAAAGTTTTAATATAAAAAGAAGGTGTGAAGAGTAAAAATTAGTGTGTAAAATTATTGTCTAAGTTAAAAAACAAAACAAATATTTTTTTAAGGGAACAAAACAAATATTATATTACACGTATGCTTTGAATTGAGACCAAAAAAAAATTACAAAACCCAGAAAATATACTATAAAAATTAACAAGAAACAAGGAAAAAAAGATTGAGGAGGAAAAGAAAAAAATAAAAAAGACCAGAGGTAACTAAATTAAAGTTTCAAAAACCCAGAAGGCTGGAACTAAACCCTAACCCCCTGACAAAAATCTTGATCTCACTCACTCACTCACTCACTCAGCCCCGAGAGAAAACCACTTTCACAGCTAACGCACAATCTCGTCTTCCTCATCGTATAAATGAATTTGAACAGGCAATAGCATTAATCAATTTATTAAATACTTACAAAAAAGAAATGTCTAAATCACAGCCATTTTCATGGGTTCGTCTTCTCATCAACCAATCCCTAACCAAACCCACCGTCTCCCCATTTTGCCGACCACTTTCCTCCACTTTCCGCCACTTTCCCGCCTCCCAAACACCCCGTCCTCCCCCCTTCCCTTCCCAAACCGCCCGTTTCTCGACGGCGGATAGGGATCCCGTGCGGGATCTCCTGGCGGACGTGGAGAGAGACAGGCAGAGAGAGAGAGAGCAGAGAATAAAGGCCGGCCTCGGGACCAGCGACATCGACGCCGAAGATGAGGAGGACTACATGAATGTGACGCCATTGATAGAGAAGATGGCGAGGCGGATGAAGCATATCAGCGACAAGGACTTGATGTGGGACGAGGAGCCCACCGACTCTGAGAGCGAGGAAGACGAGAGGTTCACTCCCGACGCCATTAAGAAGTATAACGAAATGCTTGACAGGAAGGTCAAACGCCAAAAGGAGCTGCTCAAGAACTTCGACGAAGCTAGTAATCTTTCAATTTTGTTTTATGTGATTTGATTCTTTTTTTTTTTCTTTTTGCCTGCGTACTTTGCACTAGAAGAGGAGTTTTAAATTGATAAACACGCTAATTCTTTAGTAACAAGAGCAATACAATGAGAGAAAATGAGCAAATGATTCACTCTAAATATGAGAGTTTAAGTCTACTTTCGACTGCTTTCTCTATGATGAAGAAGAATTACAAGAGAATCACACGCTCGCCACAACTTTGTGTTGAGGCGATAATTACACTTTCTCATACTTAACATAAGTTACTGTCCGATTTTTAGATTTTTTTTTTTTTTTTTTTTTTTTGGGCCTGGCTTATGATTTATTCTCAAGTAAATAACACATGGGTTTATGAGGGTTTGACAGGGTTAGTTTCTTAGCAATTTTGGGAGAAGAAAAGAAAATTGTAGATTAAAAGCTAGGCTTGCCCATTTCTTGCTGTCATTTTAGAAAAGAAAAATGATGGTTAGTGTTGATGGGATTTTGAAATGAATTATTCATTGGTTTCAATGGGATTCTTTGGTATTTTCTTAGTGTAATTCGATCAGATGTGTTGATTGACTTTGGATTTTCTGACACCCGACACTTGATGACAGCTTTTATAATGGAAGAATACGATTGAAAGTTTGAGTAAAAACATTTCTATCTTTGTGGAGGAATGTAGGGTTCTTGGTGGGAGTAGATGGAGATGTACATTCAATATTGGGCTTATCTTTTCTTAGTTTCCCCTTTCAAAGACGGAAAATGGTTTTTATTTGTTGTGGAGTTGATAAGATTTTAAATGTATTTTTTCATCGCATAGGCGTGGCAAGGCTTGATGAGATGTGTTGATTTACTTTGCATTGCTTACAGAGACCCTTGATGATGCTTTTAAGTGGATGTATAAGATTGACAAGTTTGAGAACAAACATTTCCGGCTTCGCCCTGAATATATGGTCATTGGCGAGTTGATGAACCATCTCAAAGTTGCAGAGGGAAAGGATAAGTTCATTCTTCAGATGAAACTAAATAGGGCTTTGAGGTTGGTGGAGTGGAGGGAGCAATATGATCCAAATAATCCCGCCAATTACGGGGTATTTCAAAGTACGAATCAAGTCCAGGGTGTTTCCTTGGTAGATGACTTAGAGAACGAGCTAGATGAGATACCAGTTGCCAAACTTGACAGTGACGATGAAGAAGAATTTGATGACATGAAGGAGAAAGAAGATGCGCTGTTAGAAAAAATAAATGCTATTGACAAAGCACTTGAAGAGAAGTTAGCAGCATTGGATCATACGTTTGGAAGGAAGGGTAAACTTCTAGAAGAGGAGATTAAAGATCTTGCAGAGGAAAGAAATTCTTTGACTGAGAAGAAGAGAACACCTCTCTACAGGAAGGTAACAGCACAAGGCATTGAGTTAGCATCTTATTGCTAATATTGATATTTATTTAATATAATCATACAGGCGTGAAAGGAGTTCTTGCATGCTTCAGATTAACCTTTCTACGTTCATAATTTTTCAAAGTATGAATTTCCTTTCTCCTAAATCTCTTCATGCGTTTCTGTCCTAATATGGTTTGATCTCAGAGTTTAAATACTATTGCAATCTCTTGTTGGCTATACAATGAAGTAGTAGTTGAAATGTCTTCACGTAATGTTGTAGAAAAGTCTGTTTTTGGTATTTCGTGACTATATGGATAATCAGGCAACTATTTGGTCAATTACTGTTTGTAAATTTAGTTAGACGTCTTAAGTTTCTCGTTTGTTATAAATATTTGCTTTAATTGTAGTTACCATCGATCACTGGCAGGGTTTTGATGTGAAGGTGATTAACGTGAACCGCAGTGTTAAAGTTACAAAGGTATTTTAACCATCTTGTATATTTCTCTTTGGAGAGAAGAATGCATTTACAGTTCTTATATGCCATACTCCTTTATGATTTAGGGGGGCCGCATGGCTAAGTATTCTGCCATAGTAGCTTGTGGAAACTATCACGGTGTTGTTGGTTTTGCGAAAGCGAAAGGCCCAAAAATTCCTGTTGCTGTTCAGAAGGTATTTTCTTGGTGCCGTAAAATTCTACAGTATTATGCCCCTGTTTGTTTCAACAACTCAAACTGTTGTTTTGGATTCAAACCTTAGTTCAGGATTCAAATTGGTGTTTGAGAGAGTAAAATTCAAGGACAATTCAAATCATTAACAATGGTTCAAGGACAACTCAAATTGTTGATTTTAGAATTCACCTCCCCCCTAAATTCTGACAATCCGAATTGTTGTCAACAGTCCAATAGTTCTAAATTCTACTTTTTCTCTCTCTTCAATTTCAATCTTAAAAATGTCATAATTTTTTCGTTTTAATTCCAATTGAGATGATTTTTTTTATGTGTTCATAATCAAGAGAGGAGCAAATCTCCACCCATATTGCATATTTTTTAATGTCATTTATAATGTGGTTTTATAAGGCCCCGTTCATTTTATCGATTCGAGTTTTGTTATACTAAAGAGCTCTCAGAAACAGTCACATCTAATTTTTTTGCTACACTAAAGCTCTCACATAAAGTCACATATCAACTCGAATCAGTGAACTAAACGGGCCCTTAAGATTTGTTACAAAACTCTAATGATAGTTTTCAACACTTTATCCAAACACAGTTCGTATTTTATTCCCAATTCAAATTACAATTGTTTGCATATCCAAACGACAGTTCGCATCACAGTTTGAATCACCACAGTTCAGATTTTACAATTCTAACCAAAATGGTTTCAAATCTCCACAGTTTGAGTTGTTGAACCAAACAAGCCCTATATATTTGGTTTATCATGATTTGATTTTCTTTTCGAGTCTCAAAGAGTTAGATAGATATGCTTGGATGGATGACCTTGGTGCTCTCGTTCAGAGTTAATTTTCAAAATGTCTACTTTGCCTAATAGGATCTGGTGTAGATCAGGGGATCTGACGTGACTGAAGGAGGCCTTTGTTGAGTCCTACACACCTGTAATCATATAGTGCATGTTTTCAGTAACTCTAAGTCTCTAACACATATGATGATGACGTACCTGCTCTACGTAACAACCCCTTACAATACCAGCTTGCAAGGGGAAGGGATCCCAACAGCTTACAAACCCACTAATCATCTTGCATTTATTCCATGTGGGACTTTTGGTATCTAAAACTCTAGTCACAAAATATTCTCCCACTTAGACCAAGGAATAACAATTCCACTTTTTTTACGAACCACAGTAGTATGCCCTCTTTTATAGTTAATACTAGTAAGGAATCCTAGCAAACTCCTGTTTCTTTGCGTAAGCAAAATTTACAAAGGATTTTATTATTATGATGGTTATGGTGGTCTTTTTTTTGTCTATGGTCAGAGTTTCAGTTTCATCCCTTTAAAATTTGACTTGAATGAGGTTCTATGTGATCAGATGGGGAGTCGGGAATATGATAATTAAATAGTATGTGATCTCTGATAAGTTAATGAAAGGACCTATATACGCACACAGTCCAGAATTAAATCATGCTGGTCTGCTATAGATGGAGATAAATTAGCTCAGAACAGAAGCTTTGTTCTAAGGACCGTGCTTAATAAGAACTACATGATACAAGAGATATGAAAACTGAAATATCCATCTGGCACGATCTGTCTTCCATGAGTTCGAACTCTAATGTGAATGATTCTTTTCCACAAATAAATAAGTAAATAATAAAAAATGCAAAATAAAACTGCTGCAACAGTGTGGGTAATCAATATCTTTATTCTTTTCGAACTCTAATGTGAATGATTCTTTTCCACAAATAAATAAGTAAATAACAAAAAATGCAAAATAAAACTGCTGCAACAGTGTGGGTAATCAATATCTTTATTCTTCCCCCCCCTTTCTCCCTCCTCGGTTTGTAGTTAGTGACAAAATGGTCTATTTACTGCAACAGGCACATGAGAAATGCTATCAAAATCTTCACTACGTAGAACGATACGAAGACCATACGATTCCGCATGCGATACAAACAAATTATAAGAAGACCAAGGTATTCAATCAACTCAGTTGTTAACATTTTTGTCCTTTTTCTTTTTTATTATTGTTTTGTTTTTCCTTTTTCCCACTGCAACTGCTTAATTTTGAGCTGAAAATGCAGATTTATCTGTGGCCAGCACCCACTAGAACAGGTCTAGTAGCAGGGTGGAAAATAGTCCAAACCATTTTGAATTTAGCAGGTTTCAAGAATGTCAAGACAAAGGTAATCAAATCAAGTGGCAAAGTGAGAATCAAATTTCTAGATGATGTTTTTCGGGTCTAAATTGATATGCATTTATTAATGTTAGGTTGTCGGGTCGAAGAATCCATTCAACACGGTTAAGGCTCTCTTCAAAGCCCTTACTTCGGTAAGTAGCAGAACATTCTTCATTTTCTTGCTGGTACTTTGATGATCCAAAGGGTTCTATTTTCAAGAATGAGTATTAGTTTTTGCATTTTAACGTTTGTGTCTCCGTTTCTCTGCCTTTCCAGATTGAAACTCCCAAGGATGTACAAGAGAAGTTTGGTCGGACCGTGGTTGAGAAGCACCTTCTTTGATATTTTAAAAATGACGGGTGTGTTTCATTTTTTTTGGGCTTATTTTCCAGTGATTTCGCTTGTGTCTATGGATTTTGAGGAGTTTGAAGTCCCATTTTTTCCCGATTAGATGAAATAAACGATAAAACAATAGAAATAAAGAGAAAAATATAGCTTTTGGGGAAAGCGTTTTGGTTGTATTATTGAAATTTGATTTAGTTACAACTACCTTTCACCATTTTCCCATTTCCCATTTCTAGCTTCTCAGCTTTGTATTGTCGTATTACTACAATCCTTGCAATATTTGTTTTTATATAATATGCTCACACACAGATATAATGTATATAGAAAAAAAGAGAGATTATTAATGAGCTTGCTTGTCAGCACCCAATTAATACATTTGATTAGAGTTGCAAAGGAAAATGCTAAATCTCAGGAGTCAGGATTTTGTAAACTTACTAGTCATCTAGTTCACTGCATGTGCATAATGTTTCAATAATGTCACATTTATGTGTCTTACCATATTTAGCTACTCTGTTAATTTCTAACGTTGTTATTATTATTTTTTTCCCTGCTTAATTTTTAACTGCAAGGGAACTATGGCAGTGATGACAATATCTGTACATATATTTATGTAGTACGCATCACAGTATTTGTCTATTAGGCAATAGAAACAATGTTTAACAAATTTAAGCAGATTAATGGGAGTGGGAATGGGATTTTTTGTGGGTCGGGTTGGCGGGATGTTTCTCGTGCCCCAAACCTGTCCCCGTTGCCATCCCTAGGCATGAGTAGCTTGGCTTGCTGAAGGAGTTTCGAGTCTCGATTGTTGTGTAAGTTCTGACCATTGTGTTGTGTATATGTCTTTAAAAGGCTACAAGTAACGACATTCTCAGTTAAGATGATGGGATTCAAGAAATAGGATATGATAGCTTAAACTTAGAGATGACTGAATCAAAGGGAAAGGAGACAATCTCTCCTTAGAGACAATTACCCCTTAGAGTGCATGAGTATGAATTTAGACATTTGTTTTTTACTTTTGATTAATATCATTTTTGTCAAATAACTATATTAGTCAAAATGGTATTAATTAAAATTAATGGGTAAACATCAAGATTTATGCACCTTTTAATGTCAGCAATTCTCTCCTAAATTAATGATATAGCAAGAATATTAGAGGAAAAGCCACGTTACTAACTTGTTTCATATTCATTATTATGGTACCCTGCAATATACTAGACTTAGTCGAGTTCATCAGCTGCATGTATTGGTCAACTTCCAAAAAAAAAAAATGAAAATTCAAGCACAAATACATTATGGCATTCTTCAGTTGGTTTAAAAGTCGACGAAAAAGTCGAGATGTTTTTTCTGGTTAGTTAGGAAAATCTGAAGATCTAGTTTCATCACCAAGTTGGTCTCAATCAATATCAATATCAATCAACATCAATATCATCATTGAGTTGGACCCACCAAATAATTCATCACCAACTTGGAGTTCTGGGTTCCTCATCAACCCAGACCTAGTCATGCTCATAGTAATTGCATTCCATGTAAGATTATATCCAATCCCGTGTGTAGCCACCGTCTTCTCTGAAACTTTCCAATTTAAGAGGGAATTAATCACTTAATTAAAATACGCGTTTTTAATTTCGGCTCTTGTTTTTTTCCTTTTGGGATATTTTATTTTTAATGTTTCCTCTGAACCACAGCATTTTTTCCCTTTTAAGCCAAAAAAAAAGGAAAAAAACAATATAAGGGTGCATTGAATTAAGGGTGATAATTCGTATCACGTGTCGTGTTCGTATCGTATTTTATTCAGTTTTTTTTTTAAATTTACAATCAATCATAACACGACCCGTGACACGAAATTTTTTAAAAATCGCAACACAACAAGACATGATCACTTTATGAGTTGATACGACACGACACAAAAATAAGTCGTGAAACAAAATTGACCCGTCAACCTAAAATTGACACAAAAATTATATATTTTTTAAAAAAAATTTACATATTATAAATAATTTAAAATTCATAACACAAATACAATAACATCCATCAAAATTAAGCAAATAACAGTATAAAATTTTGAGTATAACTATCATGATATTACAAGTTCATAATAAAATTTAAATATGTAATGAAAAATATATATATATATATATATTTTAGTTTTTTACGAGTTTCATATCGTTTAGTGTTAGGCGAGTCCAACCTGAAATTAACACGTATTTTTCGTATTAATTTCAAGTCGACTCAATTCTGACATGAACAATTTTTTTTCAACCTTAACCCGTAAATTTTGAGTCGTGTTGTCGTGATTATTATGACCCGTACATTGAATCCAAGTAACATCTTTGCATTGGACTCTTGCATGTGTAGCAGAAACTAGGGCTGGCAATTCGTGTTCGCGGGCCGTGTTCGGGCTGACACGATTACGGCACGACACGATTATAGTGAGCACGAACACGACACGATTAATAAACGTGTCAGAAACCCAAACACGAACACGACACGCTAATAACACGGTTAACAC